CATGGACCTTAAGACAAAGATGGAGGGATGTATTTATTGTCAGATGAACTTTCTAAACTGATCATAGCCCCTGAACAAGAATTTTTGGAGAGAGAAAGTTCACAATATCTTTACAATAAACTCTCCTTTCTGAGCTAATCTCAGGCAGTTCTGTTCCAACCTTCTGTTGCAAACAAATGACCCCTGACTGAGACAGCGGTCATGGTTAATAGGAGCTGAGAAATATGGTCTCATTAGACTGGCCTCTGGGGAGACAGAACTAGTGTCTTGGTCATGAAGCTTCTATCACAAGAATGCTTTCATATTCCAGGTTTCTATAATGATAGTTTCTGATTTTTTTTTATAGTCCAGAACACCAGGCAATCAGTCTTTATATTAATCTTAACGGAAAGGTAGTGTTGCTTATGTATAACTAAATACTGAAATTTGTGAAGCAAAATTGTTTCATGCTAAGAAAACAAAAGAAAAACAAAGGCCTCTTGGTTGATTTTTCTACCATGACCATCTGGTTTTATAATTAATGTCTTGCCAATATGCTAAAATATTTTCTATGTAAATCTTTTACATTCTTGCTGCATTTTCAATTAAAGTCTCTGAATTAAAACTTTGTACCATGAGTCAGCAGTTAAAGCAAACATGTTTTTTCCATTTATCTTCCTTTGGGAAAACCCAGTCCCAAATGCAGAATGCCTGCCATCCTGTAGTTCTTTTCATCAATCCAGATGTCCATAATTACTTCTGGAGGTTGCCATAGTGGTTTGCCCTGCCATTTGACACCATCTTTCCCATGATTGCCTACTATGGCTTCCCTTGCTTTTTTCACCGTTCCTACAAATATTCCCATTCACAGTGTACAACATACCTGTGGTCTATGCATCGGAAGACCTGGAGACACCTCATGTTCATGGGTGGCTTCATACAGGGACTGCCATTTCAGATTTGTGCTGGGGCAAAGAGACTCTCTATATCCTATTTTAGAAGCCATTGTCCTATTCTCTGAGCTATGTTGCAGAAAGCTAATATTCTAAGAAGTAGGGAAGACGAAGGTCCAAAGATCACATACGCAAAAGTCATGAGGTCCTTACAGGCATTATTTATGATAATGCCCTCCAAAGTGTGGCCCAAAGCCATTATGACCCCCGTCAACATTTGGTTGGCCTTGGACAAATGGCCAACTGACCATCTGCTGTAGAGATGCTGAGCTTAGTGGTGTCCTGTTGCCTAAATACCTAGGGCAGCAAGCACTGCTCTTCTTTTTTTTTAAGATTTATCTATTCATTTGGCGGGGGGGGGGGGGGGGGGCGCGCAGGGAAAGGGAGGGAGGGAGAGTCCCAGCAGACTCCGTGCTGAGCCCAATGCAGGGCTCAATCTCACAACCCTGAGATCACAACCCGAGTCAAAAACCAAGAGTCACCAAGACACTTGGTGTCAGACACTTACCCGACTGCGTCACCCAGGTGTCACCCGTACTGCTTTTCTTAAAGAAGCCCTTCTGAAAGCAGCCCCCCTCAGCCACCTGGCCACTCAGTAGACATTCCTTTCAGCACACTCCTCTCCGCACACACACTATAACCAATGTGGTGATGATAGCGTCACTTACAGCTTCATCAAAAATGTTACTAAAAACCATACAGATAGAACCATTTACCATTTGTTAAAACTCTACTACAAGCCACGCATTATTCTAGGAGCTTTACCTGCATTATTTCTAATCCTCGCAACCCTGCAGATTGGGTATCTGCATTCCTAATTAACACAGGAGGAAACCTACTTAGAGTGGTTAACCTGTCTCTAATCACATGCTAGTAATTTCCTCTTATTGACATGACTCTTCCCATAAGAAAATTAGTCTAGTATGGAAGTATGTGCTCAGGATTTGAATAAAGAAGGGAAAATCCTGAAATGCCAACAAGTAAATACAAATCACTTCTTATTTAAAAAATGAAATTCAAATACTATGTAACTCTATTGTCTAGTGCTTAAAATCTTCCTATTTCACACGTCAGAACAGAGCTAACTATTAGAGTTGCCTATTTAGGATTCTGAGCTAATGTGCCATCATTCCAGGCACAGACACACAAAGTATTTTAGGAAAACTTTGTTCTTCTTCACATACTTTAAATATGTATCTCTCTGCCAGTGATCCTGGGATGAGTTGAGCATAAATGAATATAACCATGTGGATTACATTTTTTTGGAAATACATATGAGCTTGTAAACTAAAAGGAAAAGAACTTGGAAAAAAGTTTATTTGGGGGTTTGATCAAAACCAAATACTTAGGAAAAAAAAATATATATATATATATCTCATCTGCAGCAGTTCAACAAACTCCCAAAGCCATCAAAACCAATGGCCTCTAAACAACCCAGGCCAGGCACATCAGAGTGAGTTAAGACTTGAAAAAATTCAGACCCAATTACTAAGTATATATTGCTTCCATAATTTTCTCTACAGAAACAAAAAATTTCTTTTATGTTAAGAAAACAAAGCCCATTGGTGGGGCCTGAGAAAAAAAATGAGTAAGTGGGCAAAAACTGATTCTCTTAGCAGACGGTGTAGATGTTGAATACACAGGCGGTGTATTGAATGATGTTGAATACTAGGCGGTGTAGATGTTGAATACACAAGAAATTATCATAATTATAATAATAAACCCATTCTCTCCTCCCACTTTTATTGAAGCTGCGTGGGGAAAATTTTTTACTTTCTTCAGGATGCTGGGAAGTCAAACTTTTTCACACTTCTGTGAGCCCTTCAGTAGATGTTCCGGGGCAGAATTATATCCACCCAAGCCCTGACCACAGGCCATAGAACCAGGCTTTTTATTAACAATGATTTTTTGTTGTTTTGATTTTAGAAATTGGTTAATCCTGTGACTCTCAATCCTTGCTTTGAGAGCTGTTGCGTTTGTTTCTGTGGTCTTTTGGTTTGAGCTGATGGTTTATAAATTGTTGCCCGCTCTCCCGCCCTCCCAGCACACTGTAGGTTTATTCATTCAATTAATGGATGAATAAATAATTAATTTCAGTGCTGTAGAGATAAACAAGGTGTAAGCAGAAGGTGACTCAGGGTGGGGATCAGGTAGTGGGACGGCATCTCTGAGGAGGTGACATTTGAGTTGAAAGAGTCAAGAGTTCAGGGGAAGAGAGGTTCAGGCCCAGGGCTCAGTAAGAGTAGCGCCTCCAGGCTGTAGAGAGCTGAATGCCATCAGAAAGCAGAAAGGTCAGAAAGGTGGCCAGTCACTGAAGCACAGAGAAAGAGATTGAGAGAGCGGGGGAAGACCAGATGGGGAGGACTGGCACAGGGGATCCTTGTTCCTGAGAATGCAAATTTGATCTTATTCTAAGGATAAGGGGAAACCATTGAAGCGGTTCCAGAAAGGCAGTGACATGATCTCAGATTTTCAAGGGTTTTTGTTGTTGTTTTGTTTTGTTTTGTTTTGAATTTCAGCTTTTAAAAACCACTTTGGCTGTTGTTTGGAGCACGGACTGAAGTGGGACGAGAGTGAAGGATTGAGAGGCTGAAGCTTCAGGTGGGAGAAAAACCTCTGGCCTCCCTTTTTGCGGAAGGATACAAATATTTAAGTTGAAGGACTTTGAAGACCTGATTGACCTAAGATCCCAGAACCTGGAAACTGTCAACTCAAGTTTTCTTAAACGGGAGGAGGGGATGGGGGGGGGGGGGGACTTAGAAAACTAGTTTTATTCAGAAGAACAGCACCTAGTATTATAGCTGTCCCTATTAGGTGTATTTTATGTGAGTACATTATTATATTTAATATATTTTATCAATCCTACAATCTTATAAGTTGGGCATTACTAGCCCCACTTTTCAGATAAAGAATTGGAGGCTTAGAAAGGCTAAATGATTGGTCCAAGGTCACAAGCTAGTAATTGACAAAGATGAGATTTGAACTAGTCCTTGAAAAGGAAACAGAGAGAGAAAAAGGGAGAAACAGGAGTTACCAGGTAGAGAAGTAATAGACCCACTACATGAAAGGCCATATAAAAATTATATCACTGACTTTGGGGGGAGAAATGAGGGGGCTCTAAACATATATTAGAAGTTAATTTTAAACACTTCAAATTTTAGCGGGGGGGAGAAAAAGAAATAGGTCAGGTCATATTTTGCTATTTAAAAAAAGCAAATAGATTTAAAATGCATAGTCATCATCAGAAAAAAAAATCAAATAAGACACTCAAGCCTCAAGCAAGAAGAACAGAAGGAAGGAAGGAAGGAAAGGAGGGAGGAAGGAAGGAAGATGTGGTCCTCACCATAGGTAATAAAACTTCTCTCCAGAGAAGCAACGTTTCAGTGCAGAGTCCCTTTATCAAGGAAGCACCTGGAGTACACAGACCGGGGAAAGGTCCTCCACTTGGGACAACTCAGTGAACAGGAATATCTTCGAGAGTGCCCCAACTCATTCCCCCCTTTGCCTTTTCCATAAACTTGAGAATTTTGCAAAAAGCAAAGTAAGGGCTTGGCCGATACTCTTGTTTTTTTAAAGAAACAGTGGCCTAGTGAGAAATCTCAGCGAGGTCAGGGCCTGGAGACAGGCTGGTTGGGGCCACCCGCTGGGATTCCCAAACACGAGCCGCCTCCCCTTCCGCAGGGAACCGGGGTCGGCCGCGGGCCTCGCTGGAGCTGCGGGGAAGCGCTCCGAGGCGACGCCGCTCGCTCGGTTTTGCTCAGAATAAGCAGCTCGTCTGTTGCACCACATTTCCCTCGGTTGCTGTTGTTTTCTTTGTGAACCGTTGGGGTGGGGTTTCTGTTCAAATCACACAAATGCTACGGCGGAGGGGTTGCCTCGGCAGCCCCCGCGCTCCCCTGGCGCAGCGGGACGGGGACTCGCTGCGCCCGCAGCCGAGCGGGGGCGCGCTTCCCGGCCAAAGCCGCCGAGCCGTGGCGCAGGCAGCCCGCCAGGGCCTGCTCCCCGGGCCGCGATCCTGAGGCCGGCCCTGCCTTCTTCCTCTTCCAGGGTGGAGCGGGCAGAGAGCGAAGGCCTCCTCCCAGCCCGCGGCTGCCCAGCCCGCCCTAGGCCGCAGAGGAGCTGAGCTGCCTCACGTCCCTCCCCAGGAGAGCCCCGCACTCCTTAGCTGCCCAGGGCCCAGGCAAAACCAGATCGTCTCCCCCTTGGACAGGTCCCCTCTGGGTGCCCTCGGGACAGATGCAATGGAGAGAATAGGTAGGATATATCCTATTCATGATCTCATTAGTAAAAGCCACATCTACAATATATTGTATGCTTTATCTTAATCTTCCCAACGACTTAACCTGAAGCTCAAAAGGGTTAAAATAACCTGCCGAGGGTTACACAGCTCATGACTGGGACGCTGAGATTCAAACCCAGATCTCAACTCCGAAGCCCTGCTCGGAATTTGAATTCATGAACTGATTCAACAGATTTATTAAGCACCGACTATGTGCCAGGGGAGCACAAAACCATTGGAGAGCCGGGACTCTGAAACTCTGAAAAGATCATTGTGTCCTCCCTCCTCCATCCCCCAGGGTGGAATTTGATTTTTTTTTTTTTAAGGTTTCGACATTTATAAGTCTGCTGAAATTAACATAGCATATTCAATGTTTTATTTCTGGTGCTCTGATTGAAAAGTTCTAAGTTCCCTGAAGCTAAACTTTGCTCTCTTGTGTGTGCATGCGTTCACGCACATGCTTAGGTGATCCAGGCGTGGGTGTCCTGGTGAGCAAGGTAGATGCAGCAGCCTTCTCCAGGAGCAGAAGCAAACATTACACCTGTAAGCGGGCAGCATTCTGAAGGGGGAGTCTCACTCCAGATTCACCCCCACCCCGGGTCTAGCCTCCTGATAACCTCCTGCACTGTCAGACCCCACAGCAAATCTGGCGGCCAGAGAGCCAGACTGGTGAAGCAGGGCTCCCTGGGGTAATTAGGCCCCCGTTGCCCACAGGTGCTACGCAGGTGGTCTCAGCCACGAGCCATGACCTAGGAAAAGCCACAGGACCGCTCAGCTGCAACCAATCCTCCGCCTGCTGCCTTCTTGAAATAGTCCAGATTTAACTTATTAAACATATTAATCTGAAGTTAACAATTTGTGGTAGTTTCACTAAACGGTTTGAAGGGAGGAATGTAAGGAAAAAGAATTTGATCTGATGGGAAAGCTCACTCCTGATGGACTAAGTGGCCTTCATATCCTGACTTTGAAATAACTGGAAATGGAAGGACTATTCACAGAAGTGGAGAGTCAGAGGGGAAACCCCACTGGAGTTAGAGAAACACAAATAATACCCATCCCCTTCTGGGCCCCAACCTGCCATGTGACTCTGAGGACATCGCTTACTGCGGTGACAGCATTTTAAACAGCTGTCCAGAGGGGTTTTAAATAGACTTGATGTAATTCAATGATTTATAGAGCAAGGGTTACCAAAATATTAAAGTTCTGAAATGCCCCCAAACCAGGACGCTGGCCCCAGCATTACCCACTCTGAACCAAATAATTCCCTGCTGTTGGAGTGTGGTATGTGCAACTTCAGAAAACTGCCATTGCTCTGAATGAGGGGCCAGAAGAAGATAAATAGCCTCTAATGAGTAGATACTTGGATCCATTTACACTCAACTCATCCCAGGATCACTGGCAGGGAGATACATGGTCAAAGTATGGGAAGAATAAGAAACTTTTCTAAAACGTTTTGTGTGTGTGCACATGTCTGATGGGCACATTAGCTCAGAGTCCTTAATAGGTAACTCCAATAGTTAGGTATTGTTCTTACATTTTAAGACATACCCTCCCAGTCTTCCAGGATTCAGTCCACGGAAGATACCCATCTCCAGGAAACAAGCCAGGCAATTATTCTCTAATTGCATATAAAATCTAAATATTCAAGGAAATTGCAGGGGGATAGAGAAAGAAATAAATCTGGCTAATGAAATGCCCACAGACCTCTATTTTATAAAATAAGCTGCAATTATGTAAACATTTTACGGCCTTCATCAATTACCCCCCCACACTTCAAAATGCAATGGTCTAAAATTGCATATGAGTTTGGAACTGGAGATAATTTCCATTCTTCCATTACATTCTTTTCATTATCTTGGAGCAAGGCTCCTTTTTCTAATCCTTACGGATCTCCCAGCCTCAAAGAGAACATCCTGAACCAAAGGCAGTTCTAGGTCTCGGAGAATCCTGACAGCTTTGTTTATGTCAAAAATAATGAAAGATGACAGGCTATCACATTTAGACTTGTAACATGATCATTTGCTTCAGGACTCCTTGCTCAGATTAATTTGGAGACAGGGAGGAAGAAAGAGGAGGAGGAGGAAGTGGGGGTGGATGAGGAGGAGGAAAAGAGCTCTTAAATGTTCTCCTTAAGAGAAGGTAGAGGGATGGGCAACCTGATGGATGCTTTTTACTTAGCTCAAGGGCAGGTGAAAATCAAATCTCTGCACAGGCTTTTATCTAACTGTCCCTCCTATTTTAAATGATTATTTTGCGGAGGACCATTATGTTGAAAAACAATAGAAACCATGGTGATAATGCCTTGGGTATGGAAGAAAGTGGTGAGAAAGGCCACCCTCTCCTGTGTGCTCATCATCACCAACACCAACAACTATCATCACTACTACCATCACCCCAAAGAAGGAAGTATAATTTCTTTGGAGTAAACTTGCATATCTAGAATAGTTTCTTTTTTTTTTAATTTTATTTTACATGGAACACTTCATCTAAAACTAATGATGTAATGTATGGGGATTAACATAAGAATAAAAAATTTAAAAAAAAAAATAAAATTTTATTTTATTATGTTATGTTAATCACCATATATCACATCATTAGTTTTTTATTTTCTTGCTCTCTTCCTCTCAATCCAAACCGATTATACCGTAGACCTTAACTTTTCTATTTTAAAAAATCCTTCTCATCCTTAAGCTAAGGCCCTGACATACTAAAGGGAAACTGAGTCTCAAGGAGAGTAACTTTTGTGGAACATGTCTTGGCACATTTGGTGGTTGGTGGTTAGAAGAAGCCAAAATAACATGGAAACCAAGGACCCTCTCTCTCAGATGGCGGAAGCCATACAAGATTTTCTGCTCATACATCTGGGTGCAGAGACACAACACTTACAACTTTCAGCCTCATGCAGAAACCAACATGCAAAGATCTCCTTTGAAAGAGACTCAAAGGCAATGGATCCAATGATCCAATGAAAAGGAGATTTTACATCAGAGGCTAATTCTCATCTATTGGTGGTAGCTTCTACGGATACTGTATTGAAAAGGTTTTAGTTTTGTTTTGTTTAAAGCTAAACAAGAGAAAGGAATACAAACACATCATAGGTATGGTAATCTGTTGTTACTGCATGCCCATGGGGGAGGGGGAGAAAAATGGAAACCCTTCCACCATTATTTACCATCAGCACCCTCCTCACTTCCCTCCTAGAGAGCTCATGTGTCTGATAATCTCACAGTTATATATGATCACATCCTAATGCACTAGCCCTGAGGCTTAATATCATCTTCTGAGAACCAGGAAACCCATTACTAACATGTTGGTTATTGGTTCACAGCATCAGACCATACAAGACCAGAGGTAACTTGAACAGAGGTCTTAAACATCATCAGGATGCACTGACTCTCATCTCTGCTTCTCTCAGCTGGTGCCTGCTTTGCCCTCCCAAATCCACATTCTCCATGCCTCTGGCTATGCTTACTGGAAGCATTAGAATCACTCTCATGGCCTCAGGAACATAGAAGGGCTCTTCCTCTTTCCCTGCACCAGCTTTAGATCCGGGGGGAAAAAAATCCTGGGGGAAGGACTCCAGTTGGCTTAGCTGGAGTCACTGGAACATCTCTCTGCATTAGTCACTGGGGGCAGAGGTGGGGCACAATGACTGGTCCAGGTTAGGTCAGCTGGCCATCCTTCAACCCATGACTGGGGCCAGAGAGGCCTATAAGCAGAGGGCTGCTCCAATTTGGGCCCCATGGCTGGGTCAAGAGGAGGGAGAAGGGAGGAGAGTTTGGTCTCCCCAAAGAAGAGTAAGTAGAGTAGTCGTGGTTACTAGGACAATCGGTTTGAGTTACACAGGCACTACAATTAGAGCCTACTTCAGATCTGAAGAATCTGCACTATAACTATGCAAATATTATTGTTAAGGAAAATACTTGTTCTTGGTTCCATAGACTTTGCAGGTTTTAGAGACAGTGTGGCAGAGATATGGATAAGCTCTAGTGTCGACCTGCAAATGAATCAAATAGTGGGGGGAGACGATGTTGATAAAACAGATTCCTGGTCCCATCCCCAGAGATTCTGCTTTACTATATTTGGGGCCCAGGAATTGACATGTTTAAAGCCCCCTCCTTAGGGTAATTTGGAGGTATCCGGCTCACAGAGCACACTTCGAGAGATCCTGGCCCAGCATCTCATTTGACACCATGGCCAGTTCTAATGAGAGTGTGAGTAGCCACAGGAGAAAGTCTCTCCCCTTTACCAGCTATGGAGGCTTTTTCTACTGAAACAATTGCAGGTTGAAAAGAATGACCCTCCCTTTCCTAGTACTTTAGTCCTAAGTCTTTTCATCAAAGCCTCAAAAGCCCCAGGCATCTAGCTCCCAGCTAACCTACTGCTCCAGGGTCGCACCCTTGCCTTCCTCCCTAGAGCGTTACTATGGCTCCTCCCAACTGGCCTCCAGGGCTGAGCCTCCCCCCCAGCAGCCAAGAGGACCCCGGTAAAGGCCCTCAGCCAAGTCCCTTTCCAGGAACTACCTTTAGACTACACCTGGTCTAAAGTCACATGGCCTCCTACACCCAAAATCGGGTTCATACAGGGTATAATGACCCAGTCCCTTCCCTGGGGGCAGGGCAACTCCAAAGGGCTACCCTAGCCCCAAAGCTTCCTATGCCGAGCCGAGTCTCAATGGCAACTACACCACTCATTACTATTTAATCCTTCCTCTACCTAGTCCTGTTTCCTCCACCTCTTTACCCCCTAGTCCCCTATCCCCCATCCCCGTTCAACTCTGAGGAGGTATAATCCTGAGGGCCCTCTGCAGTAAACCTCCTCCATACCATCTCTATCACAGAAAGTTTCCCTGAGAACCCAAACTAAGACCCAGCCCAGCCCAGCCCAAGGACCCCATCCTCTTATGAATAGTTACCTAGTCCTGTTTTCAAGCAATAAACTACTTTAGCTACAAAGAGCCTGCAGGTAATAAATTTGCATTTCAGAAAAGCTTTGTGAAGAAAGAGAAAGCTTGCAGGGATGAACCTGCAAGGAACAAAATGTAAGAGAAACCAGTCAAATCACCTCCTATCCAGTTGTGAGCACCTGAGCTTTTAGGAGACTTCAGGAGGCAGCACAGGCCCAGCAGTGTGTGTGTGTGTGTGTGTGCGTGTGCGTGTGCGTGTGTGTGTGTGTGTGTGAGAAAGGCAAGGCTGCCTCACTACTCACTCTGCCTTTCCTGGAAAGGACAGGGAGGGAGAGAGCCTCAGGGAACTGAGGACAGGCCAAGAACAAATGAATCCAGCTCCGAGAGGAAATGTGATGTACAGATGGAGCATTAGCAAGGATTCCAGAGCCCTGGGGTCCAGTCATGGCTCTGCCAATTCTAGCAGGGGGCAAGGGCCTCCATTTCTTTATCTGTGAAATGGGAATAATAATGACTGCCTGATTTCTCCCCAGAATTCTCCTGACCATTCAGTGAGATAATGCATGCAAACATCATGGAGAAGCCACTCTGCCTGCCTATGACCCTACCTCGTGTCCGACCCTGAGCCCCACACTCCCTTACCATCACTCCCAGAAGCATTTGAAGCAAGAAGCCATTGCTTTCCAAAGTGCTTTAGTATTACTGGTTAATGTGATTTATTGAGCACTTAGGAGGTACCCTCTGCCAAAGACTTCCGTGACAAGCAGAAAGCAAAGTGCCAGCCCCAGACTCATATTCTTGCTGACAACCCCGGCAGGTGAGTGTTTCCTCTGTTTTTCAGAGGAGGAACATGAGGATGGGAAAGTTGATCAACTTTCCCAGAGTTACACATCTGTGAGAGAGGGAGGGAGTTAGGGTTTGAATCAGCTGGTACCAAAGCTCTTAACCACCGGGGAAAACTGAAAAAGAAAAAAAAAACAAAAACCAAAAGCAATCCAGATGACTACTCACATCCGCCCTTAACCATGGCACCAAAGCTCTTAACCTGGTAACCAAAGCTCTTAACCACCGGGCAAAACTGAAAAAGAAAAAAAAAACAAAAACAAAAGCAATCCAGACGACTACTCACATCCCCCCTTAAACATGTCATTTTAGGAGAGAACGTCTGAGTAGCTGATGGACTTAGGTCTTCTCTAGGCTTCAAGAAAGGGTTAAAAATGCAGGGGCCTGTCCAAAGCACACTAGTAACTTTTCCCTTTTGTTGCATTCCAAGCCCACATGGACTTCCCGCCTGCTCCAGGGGCCGGGACATCCTCGCCAAGGCTGCGGCTTATGACCTATCATCACCTTCAACATCAGCCTGGAAAGTAAGAAAAATATTATGTGAGAGGTTTTTCTCTCTTAAAGCCAGTCTTAGGGAACTAGCTGTTTTCAGAGGGAAAGCAAGATTGTTGAAGGCCAATACACAGCGGGTTTATTTTAGCCCTATGTGATGCAATAATAATAATAATAATATATTTTAAAAAGTGTTGCTTAAGAAAAGGCTGGAGAGAATTGGGAGTCAGCTGGCTTGGGTTTAAGACCCGGTATGCAGCAAAACAGCCAGATATAGTTCTTTGGGGGAAAAGAAATCTAAAAAGAAAAGAAAAAAACCCTCCCTTAGTTTGGGAAAGGGCAACAAAGCATATGAAGGTGTGTGGTGCCGGGCCAAAAGCAAAAGAATATTTCACTGAAACCACAGCCCCAGTCATATGCTGTTACTTAGGCTAGATTTGACCATGACTGGCACAGGGCATGAAGCAATCATGTCTGCTGGATTTGGCTCTGTGTTAACAGGAAACCGTGTTCTTTTGATTCCGTTGATTGGTTTCCTGCTGAAGGCCATCTGTGACAGGGCAGGGAGTATACAAGACTATTGTCCAATTTCCATCTTTCCCAGTGTCTCTTGCTTCTGGCAGGGGAAGATGGCAGCCTTCATTTGACATGATCAGGCCCCAGCCTGGCAGTAATGCACGCGAGGCTGGTTGTAAATGTTGCATTCAGCAGGTTGGTTAGGGAAGGAAGGAATCGCTGAAATGCAGACACGTACACACATACGAACAACCACAAATGAAGCACCATTTGTTCGCACAGACTCATTCATCCCCTGCCACCAAGCTCAAGGGCCTGTGCCTCCATGTAACAAAAGATCTGCCTCCCACTGAGACCTGACAGTGTTTCAAAGGGAGAGGCTGGAACAAGGGAGAACAAGAACCGGGATAGGTGGGCTTTGGCTGAGCTGTGGGTCTCCTTCCTCCATGGTTTCTGAGCCAAATCATTTTGTAGAAAAGTCCCTGAAAACTCAGTGGAGGGTAGAATGGTTGGGCCTGAGCCTGAGAAAACCTGCGTTGATGAGTCCAGGTCATCTGCCGGGTCCATGTGCGTGCTTGGTGTCCTCAGTAACACCATGGAGAGAATTTTGTATTTGATAGAGGGCAGGTGTATTTTCTCATTGAGTTGACTTCAGGATGGAAATAGCATGTCTGTCATAAAGTAATTCTTTTTAAAATGATAAAGGAGAACAAGTCATGTTAATAATGGGCTTGGGCTGGACCCTGATAAGGCGATACCCAGCATCCAGGGCATCTCTACCCTCAGCAGTCTCTGCTCCTCAATCACCTGGCTGCCAGCTAGGATGGAGGTCCTCTCCCCTTGACCCAGAGACATGGTGAGCTCCAGAGACTCATCCCAAATGTCTCTTGTGACCATCCTCACTGACCTGGCCCCTCAGCACACTACACACTCCGTCTCCTGTTTAAAGCAAAAGTAGTAACAACAACAATTCATTTATTTATTTATTTTTTTTCAGGTAAGGAATCAAAGGCCACACAACAGTACGGGGCTAAATTACAGGAATTTACTCATTCACAGATTCTGCTGAGTGTGGTTTAACTCATACCTTCGGCTTGCAACCCAGCTAAGAGATCCTTCTTAGCCTCTGATCTATGAAACCCAAATCCTTATAAGGAACCTCCCCACTCCCACTACGTACGCTCATGCACACGCACGCACACACGTGTGTGCACACACACCCGCACATGCAGAGCTCTAGATCAAAACCATACTCTCTGCAGTCACCAAAGCTCTGATTCAGTCACTCCCTTGGTTGGCCTTGGTTGGTGACCTGGGGACAGGGCGGGTGGCCAGGGCCAGATGGACAGAAGGAGGACTCAGAATGAGGAGCTAAGACTGCTCCAACAGGGTGAAGCTTCTTGGCAATCTACGGGAGCAGAAGGGAGAACGGAGCTGAGCCCCCTCCTGGCCCCTCCCAGCCTCCTGTGGCCTGGTGGGGAACAGGCAGAATTTGGAGAACTGGGCTGCATGGCGGACAGTAATTAAGAAGGGGGTGGCTGGGGAGAGGTTGGTGGGGCTGCACCTTGTTTTCTCTGGAGACTGAGAGGAGGTGCCAGCTGGTTGGGCTCTCTGTTAGCATTGCTCCCTCACACTGTCTCCTCCCGCCTGGGCCTCGGTCAGCCATTAGCCAAAGCCTTTGCACTGCGGTCTCCCTCCCTCCATGTTTCTTCTTTTCTCCCCTCCCCTCCCACCTCTCCTCTGTCTCCTTATTGTGATATTTCGATCCCGTCTTTAATAAAGACTTTGCTGCAAGGCCGCCTGTCTGGATGGATTGGTGTGCAGTGGTCACCGGAGGTCAGTTGGGAGGAGGGGGCCCTGAAGTGGGGGCCAGAAGGTAGGGTCAAGGGAGCAGCCAGATGGCCAGGGGATGTCAGGGATGTCAGGGAGGGGGTGTCCGTGAGTTCTGACCTGGGCTGAGAGAACACAGAGCACCGGTGAGGCAAAAGTGCCCTCACTCTCAGCAGGAGGGCAGCCAGGCCGCCGCAGCCCAATACTTTCCCCGGATCCTCCAAGCCCAGCCTCCCCCGGCCAGGGTCACTCAAGCATGGGAAGTTTCTCCATCCTTCACTCAGGGTTGTGGGATCCAGCCCTCATCAGGCCCCGCGCTCAGCAGGGAGTCTGCTTGAGATCTTCCCCTCTCCCCCACCCCTCTCCCAGCACTCATGCTCTCTCTCTCTCCTTCTTAATTTAGAGAGAGAGAGAGCTCTTAACCTCTGATGAGGCTTCAAACACACATAATGGGATGGGGAGGGTTCAGGGCCATCAAGGGCCCTTTGTCACCCCCTTTCTGCAATCAGTCCCATAGCCCCGGCTGTTCTTCCAGATGGGAGTCCCAAGTATGGGGATAGGCAGCTGTGAGAGCCAGGACTCAAGACAAACCTTTGAACCTTTGAAGCATAGCACCCCTGACAGGTCCATTCAAGTCTCTGCCCCTTGAGCTCAGCAAAGTGCGCATGTTTGCGGATCCTGGAGCTAGACATTCAGAACAGATCTCTGTTAATTAGTTCCAGGGCTGGATTCAAAGATGCCATTTGATTCACTATTTCTTTGTTGTCTTGCTCCTCCACTGAGATCAGTATCTCTGCGACCTCGAACAGAGCCTAGAACACGGAGCCTTCTCAACAAATACTTGTGAAATAAAGGAACAAATGTTAGCTCCATCTCTTAACATCCGAAATTTCTGTAATCACAATAAGAAGCAAAAGGCCAGAGTCCAGCTGGGCTGCCCCCCCCTTCATCACACCAGAGAGAGACCCCAGTTCTCCCCTTTCCACTGGGAGGGGATTCTTTCTTCCTCAGTGTCCTTCCTTTTGCCTTGTTTGTCTTTCCATTTTGCATGTCTTTACCTCTCCTACTAAGAACACAAGTGACCCTGTTTCTTCTGATGTTTCCAAACCACCGTCCCTGCCATTTTCCCTTCAGTTTGCCTCTGGTGAAAAAAAAAGTTCCTCCCAGAAATGTGACTCAGAGGTAATCAACATCAATGTCATCCAAGGCCATGGGGAATTTCTTAGCCATGAGTCACATCCCCTGTGCTGAGAACCTGGGTTTTAGGCAAGGCAGAAAGTTTCAACACCAACCTCTAGAGACACCCCCCCTTCCTCCCCAGCCCCATGCCCACTGACTGCAGGAATTTATCCTTGACATTCTTTGTTGTTGCTGCCCTTGGCCACAGCGGGTGAAGGCTCCAGCTCCCTTCCCTTCCCAGCGAATTTCCATGGCTACTGCTATGTAGGCAGGAAGTGCCTGGCTGCCACTGCTCATTGAGGACAGGGAGACGCAACCCCCAGCCAGCTTTCAGTGCGGGCTCAGGGCCAGGGCACCTCAGATTTTCTACTCCAGCTGGAAACAGGACGTGAAAGGTGCAGGTTAGGAAGGAGCCATGGCCACTGAGTTCAAAGGGCTCATTCATAAAGTTAAAAAAATATATATTTTTCAGTATTTAGGTTGCTCTTTCTTTGTTCTTTCTCTTTCTTCGCAAATTTGTCGAATAGGTCCCAGTGCACGAATTTGAAAAAAGGATGGAAGGAAGGAAGGAAGGAAGGAAATCTAAAGCTCACCAAACATACACAAAGGTGACACTCAGACACATGCTATCCAAATGGAAGGGAACTCAGTCTGTGCCCACACATGAAAGGCAGTGACAAGTTGAGAAATTGTTATCCAGGTCATGGAAGGTCATTGACACGTTTCCAGGTCTCCAGCAAGTTGGAAAATGATTGAAACCTGACTGAGCTCGTAGCAACCTTGCCTAAAACTGCACAGGCAGCCCTGAATAAGAGAAGCAGGACAGCACAGGGGTAAGTGCATCAGCTGGAAGCCCAATGGAGTAGTTCGAACTTTAAGAAGCAAGGGAGATAACCACGCAATAGGAATGATCCTGGCACATGATGGGCCCTCAACAAATACCAGTGGAATGTGTGAATGACTGCATGAAGTGCTTCTCCGAGGCTTGGAGCTCAGAGAGGGGCTCGCTGAATAGCAGTGGTCATTCCTGAGCTCTTGATGGGAAATGGCAGGGACCCTTTCCTGTCAATGAGCTGGAGTTTGACCAGGAGCCGTCAGGACACCAAAGCACCAAGAGGAAGGGGAGGTTCAGCCACACTCAGAGCACGTTCTCTCGCAGTGAGCAAGAAATGGCCATGACAAGAACAGGGAAGGGTCACTGTCTTCAGAAGGGGCAGTGTCTAAATGGGTGCAAACTGAGTCAGACCGCCTCCAAAAGAAGGATCTCACCCACACACCCCCCTCTGCCTGGGAACTTTCTTGGCCAGCCCTCAGGGGATGAAGGAACAATTCCTTTTGTCCTGTGCCCACAGCACAGCCAGCCACTTCAAGGGCAAACCTTGACATGTAGGGTGCCCTCTACCTGGAGATGGTTAATTTACAAGTCAACATGTGGCAGAACGTCTCCCAGAGCTAGGAGAGAATTTGAACATTTTCCAGGCAGCTCTGCATTAGCCAAGACCTACCTCCAACTACTTGAAGCAAAAGAAGAAAATTTCCTGGCTCACAAAACCAAACTTCCAGAAGAAGGGGTAGGACTCACTTTAGGAACTAGAAGGACAGGGTCAGGTTTCATCTTCTGGTTGTTTTGGTTGTTCCGGGCTCATATCCAAGCTTTAGGACTATTGGCTGCAGGTTTTTCATCTGCATAATGGGAATATTAACTTTCCCATGTACCTCACAGAATTAGTATAATGATCAGCTGAGAAAACCATGAGCAGAGGCACCACACACAGTCTGCTATAACCCTTGTTTTGACCATGCAAATTTATTTTAATTAGATTAATATATGATGGGACACTTTGAGCATATGCAAATTTCTCACCCGCAATTTTGTCTGAAAATTTTTAAAAACTACATTAACATAGAAAACTGCACCCGCTGAGCCATGTCTTGCAGGAATTCATGAAATGCACAAATGCACACACTCTGTACATTGCCCTCTCCTTATCCCATCCAAGTGGGTGCTCCTACGAGGTTATGTTTGGCTCTTATTATTGTGAACTTTTCTATATTAAAAAAAATACTCATTCAACATCTCAAATATGTCTAAGCATCCTGATTTTAAAATACCAAACAGGTCATGAAGAAGGAAAATTTTGGGGTGCCTGGGTGGCTCAGTCGTTAAGCGTCTGCCTTCAGTTCAGGTCATGATCCCGGGGTCCTGGGATCGAGCCCCGCATCAGGCTCCCTGCTCGGCGGGAAGCCTGCTTCTCCCTCTCCCACTCTCCCTGCTTGTGTTCCCTCTTTCGCTGTGTCTCTGTCAAATAAATAAATAAAATCTTTAAAAAAAAAAAAAAGAAAAAGGAAAATTTTATGTATTGAGGAGAAGCTTTTAGGCATTTTTTAAAAAGATTTTATTTATTCATTTGAGACACAGTGATAGAGAATGAGCAGGGGGAAAGGCAGAGGGAGAGGGAGAAGCAGGCTCCCCGCTGAGCCAGGAGCCCGATGTGGGGCTTGATCCCAGGACCCTGGGATCATAACCTGAGCCGAAGGCAGACACCCAACCATCTGAGCCACCCAGGCACCCCTAAAAAACGCATTTTGAAATAATCAAGAGATCATGTGCAATTTCCCGAGCAAGAGGCATGAAGGAATCCCCAATGCTGAGACAATAAATGACACATCTCTGGGTGAAACAACTCTGAGGCAAAAATGTCCATGAGAATAACCCCTGAAGAAACAGAAGAGATGGAAAGACGAGCATTGTTTCAACTGAAAGCCAAACAGTGCAAAGTGGGGGGCAACCTGTCTCACAAAGAGAGAGCCCTCTCTCCACACAAGACCTTAAGGCGAAATGCCAAATTCTGCAGAAGTGGCACCTGTTAGTACTATGAGTGGCTGATTTGGTGTTTCAAACTTCATGCCGATTTCCAGAGCCTTCAGCTGTTAGGTGGAGTCCCAGGTGCAGATGAGAAAGCCACGGAGGAACGTCCAGAGGGGGACAGAAGTCACCTGACGACAACGACTACACATGGGATCAGATTTTCAATTTTGATAAAGGGGTTCTCTATTACCAACACATGCTTCAAAGGGCCTATATCTCAAAGACAGAAAAACAAGCTCCAGGATTTCAAGCTGGCAAACTTGGAGGACCTTCCTCCTATCACCTCACAATACCTCGCAAGCTACAATGCCTGCTTCCATAAGCCAACTTCAGGTCTTTCTCAAGATAAAGCACCATATTTACTGTAGTACTGACTCCTTTCTCAATCATTTAACATGTGTGAGGCTGTGCTATTTCTATTAGATTTCTCTTTTTTATGTTACGGACAAAATTTTTAGGTGGAGCTTTCTCTAAGCCCCGCAGTTTTTATTGTGTGATTTTGCTCAGTGAGGGGAGTTTTCTGTATTAAAAAAAAAAAACAAAAAACAACTGTACTGATATGAAATATATAAATGCACTGGGATGTTACTACCCGATCTTTTAATTCCCACATGTTTCTCACTCAACCACAGGCTACAGGTGTGAACCCTTAAATTAAACTGGGCCCCAGGATCAGAAACCCACAGCTCCTCCTTATTCCTTGAGGCCCTCAGAGCTGAATCAAACGTCTAGACAACCTGACACTGTGCAGCTACTTTGTGAAGGACTCCCCGAAATCCCACTTGTCCTCCAGAAGCATGTTATTTCTTCTTCATCTCCATTACTCTAGTCCTTTCTTTCTTGAGACCACACGTTGGAAGCCCTGTAGATCCCTGTGGTTCCTATTATCTGCTTTCCCTGGAACAGGCACCGCCTCCCCGTCTCCATCATCAGGTGATGCTGGCTGTGATGTCAGAGCCTAATCAAAGCTGGTCCCCTTTCCTGGGTGATCCAGGGAGTGGCCAGAGAAAGCTAGCACACCTCTTAGTGTGACACAGACATATGGTCTCTACAGGAGACCTCTCTCTCTCCAGGCTGTCCTTGGGCTTTTCTGGAAGCTTTGGCTTTTCTGCAGGACTCTGAAGATCTGTCTCTACTGAGACCAGCCCCTCAGGAGGGGA